AGCTACATTCTTCAACAGATTTGACAGCATACAGGCAACTGAACAGACAGATCTCCAAATACATGCGGTGGGACTTACGCAACTTCAATACAGCTCGTATTGAAGAAGCGATCGAGCGGAATCAAGGCTCCAAAGTCTTTGCCAGAGATCTGTCTGCCAGAAAGAGCCAACTGTCAAAGCTGAAGACCGAATGTGGCAGCATCATTTCCGGGGCACCTGAGATTTTGAGTGAGATTGAGAGGTTCTATGGGCAGCTGTACACTTCATCGTTGGAGCCACACGCGAGTGTGACTAACGATCCAAGAGCGAGTCTTATCCGACATTATTCCGATGATATCCCGGACGTCAGTCTGAGCGAGATTAGAATGGCTCTCCAGCACCTTAAAAACGGCAAGGCCCCAGGCGAGGATGGAATTACAGCGGAGCTTCTGAAAGCGGGTGGAAAACCGGTACTTGAAGTCCTACAGAAGCTCTTTAATTCCGTCCTCCATGGTGGCATTACACCGGAGGCGTGGAGCAGAAGTGCGGTGGTCTTGTTCTTCAAGAAAGGTGACAACGCTCTCTTGAAGAACTACAGACCGATTTCCCTTTCGAGCCGCGTCTACGTGCTGTTTTCGAGAGTCATTACGAATCGTCTCGCGCGCAGACTTGACGACTTCCAGCCTCCCGAACAAGCCGGTTTCCGAAAAGGCTTTAGCACCATAGACCACATACATACCCTTCGGCAAATTGTACAAAAGTCAGAGGAGTACAATTTGCAACTATGTCTGGCGTATGTGGACTATGAGAAAGCCTTTGATTGCGTCGAAATTTGGGCGGTGCTGCAGTCCCCTCAGCGGTGCCAAGTGGACAGTCGGTATATCGAAGTGCTGAAGTGCTTGTACAGTGGGGCTACGATGGCTATCCGAGTACAGAACCAGAGTACGAAACCTATACAATTGCAGAGAGGTGTAAGACAAGGTGACGTCATATCCCCGAAACTCTTCATCGCTGCATTGGAAGACGTTTTCAAGCTTCTGGACTGGAAAGGATACGGTATCAACATCAATGGCGAGTACATCACCCACCTTCGATTTGCCGACGATATAGTCCATATGGCAGAATCGCTGGAGGATCTAAGCACTATGCTCAATGACCACAATAGTGCTTCCCAACGGATAGGTCTTAAGATGAACATGGACAAAACAAAGATCATGTTTAATGTCCATGTCACACCTATGCCGGTAGTTCTTGGGAGCACTAAGCTCGAAGTTGTTGACGAGTATGTTTACCTGGGACAAATAGTCCGACTAGGTAAGTCCAACTTCGACCGAGAGGTCAATCGACGGATTCAACTCGGTTGGGCAGCGTTCGGGAAATTACGGCACATCTTCTCGTCAGGTATACCTCAAAACTTGAAAACGGGACTGTACAAACAGTGCGTGTTGCCAGTGATGACATACGGAACTGAGACGTGGTCCTTCACTGCTGGCCGGATGAGGAAGCTCAAGGTCGCTCAGCGAGCTATGGAGAGGGCTATGCTCGGAGTTTCTCTGCGTGATAAACTCAGAAATGAGGATATCCGCAGTAGAACCAGAGTGACCGACATAGCCCAACGGATTAGTAAGCTGAAGTGGCATTGGGCCGGCCATATAGCTCGAAGAACCGACAACCGATGGGGAAGAAAGGTTCTCGAGTGGCAGCATCGTACCGGCAGGCGAAGTGTTGGGCGTCACCCCACTAGATGGAGTGACGACCTGGTAAGATATGCAGGAAGTCGGTGGATGCAGGTGGCTCAGGACCGTGCTTTGTGGCATTCCTTGGTGGAGGCCTATGTTCAGCAGTGGACTTGTGAAAGGTTGTAATGATGATGATGATGAATTAAAGTGTCAATTTTGGTAATTCGATCGGCAGTTTTTAATTGTCTCGAACCCCAACCTCGTAACAATATTTTAATTTAGAATTATCGTCAACTCATCATCATCCTTCATAGGCCTCTCCTATTTTAGAGTTCATATTGGGTATATATTGGGTCTGGTTGGTTTGTGAAATCAAATAAAATAAATTTATTTACCACCGACCCGCCCCAGCTTCCTCTAAGTGGAATCTATTAATGTAGCGTCATTAAGATTTTTAAAGTAATCATCAATGTCTTAATTTCCCCAATCCGCTAATTTTTCGGAGAAAATAGAGCTTAGATCACACCCGGTATCACTCACTATCTGTTAGTGAACTTTCATTACAATCGAGTCAGCCGATATTCCGATGATCAACCCAAACCCAGATAGACAGGTAGACAAAAATTGTACAAATAGTTCAATTTTCATGAAATGTTAATTCAACATAACAGGCAGACACTTAAATTTTGTTTATATGTGTAGATTTTACGTATGAAATCAAAATTTAGTTTATGGAATGTCATAATTTCCTCCATATCTAATACCATCTAAAAATTAGGTTCATCTGACTGGAAAAGAAATGGCGGTAAGGTGTGGTAAGGATTAAATTATAAAGGCATAGTATATTATACAGAATAGAAAATAATAATAGTACAAAAAATTACGAACCACAATTTTAACAACGTAACGCCTGATTCTATAAAATAACTTAAATAACAATTTAAAAAAATATGGTGTTTTTCAGTTAATAGAGATCCCGAGCAGACCAACGTTTGTGATCATCCTCATGTCTCATTACAACAATCTCAAGAATCTTAAGAGTTATATCGGACACAGTTTGGTTAGAACGAGTTAGTGCTTCTGTTTTTTGCGCATACACTTCTGGTACTATAATACTTTCAGCAAAGTTGAATGTTCCGATGGAAATAAAAGTTCTCGAGTGATAGCCTCGTACTGACAAGTGCAGGTTTGCGCAACTTTCTACTAGATGGAGTGACGACCTGATGAAACACGCGGCTAGTAATGGATGTATATGGTATATACATCCATCGACTAACCGCGTGTTATATACCATACTGCGTGACATTCTATGCGACCTCTATTTTAAGATATGGTATGAGTAAGTGAATTGGCGGTTCCCTATGATTCGGAAGTAGGCACCGTAATCAAAATCAACCAGAAGGACAGAATAAAATATGAACTATTAATCTATTCATGTTATATGAGTAATTAAAATCCGAATAGTTCCTCAGTATAGTGAAAAGCGGAAGCATTGCCAGTTCTAAATTAGAATGTTACTGCTACAGATGTCAAAGCAGGTAGTATTATTACGTACTTTACACTTTAATGAACAAATTCTCAGAGCAGGAAGGCAACGTACTTCACTTTCACCGTCAATCTCACAGTTCTGCAGCCTTATAGAAGCAGTTACGATACTTTTTCTAGTTTTTTTTTCTTTTAATGATGTCGATAGTTTGACTATGTAGAATAAAATAGATGATTTTGAACGTATTCTATATCAATATTTTAAGAAACATTATTTATCTTACAAGTACATAGTTTAATTATGCAATTTACCACGGCAGTATTGTTAAAAAAGTATTAAATTATTTACTGGTAATAGGAGTAAAATAATATTAATATAAAATTTTAATTTTAATCAAATATATACCTACCGCTAAAATACATTAAGTACTAATATTCCCATTTAACGTTAGCTTAAAATTCAAATTTCTGCTTTCAAATATTAAAAGTAATTTGCGGTTGTAATCAAATCGCGAATTTAAACTCACTATACTTTTGAGCGCGCAGTCCTTCGGCACCATTGAGTTACATGTACTACGTACTAGAGAAGCCATTCCGAACATTGACATGTTCAACTGAACTGTAGTGCAATCTATACAAACTAAATATTGCTTAAATTGAAGATTTGTGAATTCCATAAGATAATTATTATTACATTTTATTAAGAAATATGTTTGTTTCGATTAAATTAAGATATTTTATATTAAATTCTTATATTTATTTTATATAACTCAATGTTCGGCACCCTTTAATATTCAACGTCAGTTATGTTAATATGATTTATGTTATTACATCAAAAATTTATTTATCTTTTTTTACTTTTGATCACATTCTGTAAATATAGGCCTGCGATATAATACATATATGTATAATTATGTACATAAAATTTATAATAATTTATTATACATTTTGTTATAAGAATACTAACTACACATAAATATAATAAAATAAAAAGATAAAGCAACAGATGTACGAGTACCAGAAGAGTTCCGTCCGCCCACATTCTGCCTAATTTAGGAAAATTTATAAAATTCCCAAATTAGTCAGAATCATAAATAAATGATTGGTAAATTTTATTTATATTAATTAAATATATGTGTGAAGCTTCTTTCACAAATAATATAAAACAGCATAAATAGGGAAAAAATGTGTTTATTAAAAAAGCCGTCACTTTCTATGAGTATGAGAAAATGAGATAAAACAGGAGGCACAAGAACTATTATATACTTATAATATACATTGGTATACAAATAATTACTCTACAGCATAGTATTAAGAAACGTAAAATATATTTACAATGTTTAGTTTATTACTACAAGTGCTGTACAAATATCAACTTACCCATCTTTCTAGGAAGTGGGTTTGCTCTGCCGCATTCTAAAATGTGAATTATCGTCATTATTACATGTACACTAAGAAGAAAAACTAATCTACAACCAAGTTTACAAAACTATACATTTATGACTTTGCAGTGTTATAAAGTAGTATTCCTACAAGGTTGTCTGAAAATTGAAAAAAAAAATATTAATTTAAGCGTGTTGGTATGTAAGCACTTAAATAAAATTATGTTTGATTACTGTATACCAACGAAATCTAAACACTAATCTACTAATTGTAGTCTGATTTTATTCTACTGAATTATTGATTTGTTTTGTGTTACGGTCGCATTAATATTAACGGAGAAAACGTATTTTTTTTTTGTACCTATCTACTATTGACAAGTTATGAGAAATAAACAAGTAAGGTTATCCATGAAGTGATTTAAAATATTAAAATATAAAATATCTAATATTTGACAATTAATCCAACAATACTTGCCGCATGAGCAGTTCTTGATTTGAGAGTCATCTTCATCATCCTCCACGCTCTGTTCTTCAAACAGTGGAACTTCCAATCCAAAAATCGCGTCGAAAAGAAATCTTTGCGTTCTATTGCCTGACGATACCTGGAATTACACAATATATATTATACTTATATCGTATCATAAAATACGTAGTAGGTAATTAAATTAAATTAAATTAAATTAAAAATTTTAAATCACAGATAAGTATTTGTTAGTCATTATCAAATTTTTGCATTTAATTTCTTTTGTCTTTGCTTTTCATAGTAGGTAGTCTTTATGAAAAATTTAAAAATTATAGTTGTAGGTCATCCTATTCAAAACAGTTGTAATAGTAAAATAGTGCAGTATTTTACAATTTAGTACTTTTATATCTCTATATATAGATATAGATATCCGATCATACCGCTCAAGTCCTAAAATGTCCTGTTATCAAATCTTACACTATCTCTCATTGGATTGTGTTAAAACGGGAGTACAGCGCAGAAAACTTAAATAAATTTAAAAATGCCATTAGAAGTCTCAGTTTTAATAGTGCTTATGAATGTCTTGATCCTAATGAAAGGAAAGCAAAGATTAAAAACTCATAATTTTATAATTACAGACACTTAAAATTAAAATCCCTATAAATAAAAATCTTACTTGGGCTATAAATGGTATTAAATTTTGCTGTAGACGAAAGCTGAAGAATTTTATAATTATTTTAGCAACGAAGTCCGGCTTAGTAACGACCACCATAATTATTCATCCATAAATAGTAGAATGAACTCAATGTTTATGCCTGCATCTATTCCTCATGATTTACATAAAATAATTAATAAGTTAAAAATACTAACAGTGCCTTGGTAATGGTGAAACGTAAATAACAACTTTTTCAACTTATATTCTTATTTAGAAAGTAATAACATCTTAGCAAAGGAATTATATGGTTTTAGGAAATGTAAAAACATAAATATGGCCATGTATGGGTAATCATACACCGACAACCGCTTTATTCATGAACGTAAGGTGTTTGATTACGTTGGTTTAAATATTCTAGTACTTAAACTGAAAAATATGGAATCCGAGGAAATGTGTTAAAACTTATTACGTCATACCTGAATGATAGAAAACAAATTACTAAAATAAAAAAGATCTGTCCTCGTACTAATATTGAACTAACATACCTTTCGCAAGAAAAGCAAAGAACCTACGGTGTGCCGCAAGGAAGCGTACTCGGTCCTTTACTATTCCTACTCTATAAATGATTTGCCCCAGGTGACTCAGTACCCTATAAACTTATTTGCTGACGGACATTACTGAAAATTTATGCAGGATAATAATCTGGCTAAATGACTATAATCTTAAAATTAATTTAGATAAAACGCATATTACGTCATTCAAACAAAGGTCAAAACAACATGTCTTAATATTAACTATAAAACTAAAATTATAAACGAAAAAGACCCCAGAACGCGAAAAGTCTTTAAAGCGCAAAATAAAAGTTTACGAGCGTATGCCGGTTGCAGGTTACCGATAGTTGCAAACCGCGTTTCATTGATCTTAACATAATAACCCTGCCATCTTTATGTATACTCGAAGTAGCTATGTTTGTTAGGAAACATTTTAGCATATTTGAGACCGCTAATAGTAAACGTCAGAGGAACACACTGCGTATAAAACCTCACAAAACAGCCCTAAATTCAAAAAGTTTCCTGGGTATGGCTCCTAAAATTTTTAATAAACTCCCAAAAACATCAAACAGACATAATATAGACAAATTTAAGAAATTGCTTTCGGGTTTGTTACTCGTAATAATAAAAGCATACTACTTTATCAACGAATACTTTGATGATAAAATGAATGGTTTTTAGTACCTACAATAATTAATTTGCGATTTATTTATACTATTTTTATCTTTATTTTATTAAAAATTATATAATGGATAATAAAAACAATAATTTATGCAATTTTTCCCAAACATACTAATTATTATTGAAATTGTAATGTTATTAAATATTAATATTAGTAATGCAAGGTGAGGGTGCTAACTAAATATTTGTATGACTTCTAAGGTGCAACATAGTGTTACTTAGGTATCATAGTTTTCCCACCAAGTTTGTAACTTTTTACCTAAGTTTTACAAATAAATTATTTTGAATTTTACTAACCCAGATAATTTATATATATTAGCCATCGCGTATATTGCCATCGTTTTGATGTTTTTCCTTCGCACATACGGAAACTGTTAATATATCAAGCAACGCGGACGAAGTCGCGGGTATCAGCTAGTATAGATAAAGAACACAAAACAATAATTATAATTACCTACATAATATATACATTTTAATAATAAATAAACCATGGACATATAAACTATACATACATATATACAAATATATAAATACATGCATATGCATACAAATAAACTTAGGTGTATTCAATTTATTCATGACTAAAACTAGGTGTGGCTGGTTTCTTGCTGGTAAAACCAGGCATAGTAGTCAGAAAAACACGAAATCACCTACACGAAGACTTCTATTAAATTTGTTAAAATACAAAAGCATCTTTGTGGCAAGAAAGCTTTATGGCATTCCTTGGGGAAGGCTTATGTTCAGCAGTGGACTTGTGAAGGACTGTAATTATGATGACGATGACAAAAGCACCTATCAAATAAACATAAGCGACAGCGGGTAAATAATTATTACTTCTGTTGAATTATCAAATATACAAACGTACATATCAAGTAATATCAGCGATAGTAGGTAAATGTAAATGAATTCTATTAAATTTGTCAAAAATACGGATGCACCTATCAAGTAATATCGGTGGACATTTATATTATTCTGGTCTAGTTTTATACATATCAGTCTGGTTTCCACCCGGGACACAGTACCACTACAGAATTACTTCAAGTTAAAGAAGGCATGGAGAGGTCATGTCTGACTGTTCTGTTACAATTTTCAAATAAAATATAAAAATATGACATACGGTTTACCACATGATAGTAATGTACACAAAAATTGGGACAATATAAACAAATACAAGACAATAAAATTTTAATGACTGGTTCTTTTAGTACCAGTTACCAAAACCATAATACATACGCCTTACATAATACAACTTTAGCCAATTATATTCATCTTCCGTTGGAAATGACTTTACATAACGTTTGTTTACAGCTTTAAATTGACGTGTTTTACTTTCACGGTTACGCGGCAAGAGGTTCTCAAGAACCGTTGAATAATAATATGGATTGCGTTCAGCAAAGACAAAGAAAACTATAATATGCTCCGTAACGGTCAGGGCTGAATTAAGAGATGTGAGAGACTTAACACGCCAAAAAAGTAATTTTTCAAATAAGAAAAAAAGTGTGCATTTCAACACTATCCATTTTTTATATTCGTTAGGCAATTTCAGTTGTTTCGTTAAGGCTCTAAAGCTTTAGATTCTGTTCTTCTCTCTATACATCGGCTCTTGCTAACGACTCAAAATAAACAAAACATTTTTAATTTTTTTTTTAATAGAATTAGAGTGACAAACAAGCACACAGTCCACCTAATGATCAGTGGTTGCTGTGGCCCATAGACATCTATATCTACGATGATTTTTTTTCATTCATCGTTTGCGAATTAAAATGCGGATGCGTTGTCAGCCGTGAGGACTAAGATAGAATGCCTCTGTTCCAGTAAAAAGGGTCTCCGGTTCTCTACACTCACCATACGAAACACAGCAGCATAGAATTATTACGTAAAGAATACTAGTACGCGCACCGAAAGTAAAGCAAGTCAAACTAACGCGAAACCACGTAAGTTCACTCAGCGGCCCGTCAGTGCGCATCGTCTCGTTTTACGGAGAAGAGCTCGCGCACAAATTGTAAATATTACTTAAAAATATTGTCACAACCGTGATGATAAACATTAATTAAAAAAACATTGATATCTATTATTTATTTTAAACGTTAAAGCGCAACGTTAAACTTAAACATTTAAATGTAGATACTTACTTATCTAAGTATTACCATAATATTAACTATTGGTGCCTCATGGGTGCCTATTTTAAATGATGTATTGACGCCATTTTAAAGCTAACTGTTTTATCCTTATGGCGTTATTCGTTGACCAAGTAAAAGTTTTAGACTATAATATGAAGACATTTTATTTACTATCAATTAAAAGCGAGTAACTTTAAAAACAACCATTACAATTTTAGCGTGTTTATTACCTTCAAATAAGAAAAAATTCAAATCAGTTTATAAGTGTCGGAGTTTTGAGGTAACAAATATAAAAAATACACTGTACTGAGAACCTCCTCCTTTTTTGCTGTCGGTTAAAATTAAACATTACACGATGTCCTTATTGCATTCGATCGAATAATTGTGTATAACATAATATCCTAAAGTTTTATTACGTCTGCATTTTTATACCATTAAAATATGTATAATAAAAGTTAAGTTATTAGTACCATCATTATCATGTTTATTTTATTACATTTTATAGTCTCATAAAATACACCATCGTACGTAATACGTAATCTTTATTTTATCGATTATTTATAATTAATCAATAAAATCGTGATTTGCACAATTTGATTGCAAACGCCAGAAACTGGTATCACTGACTGCCGTGTATGTGTGCGTATGATGAGCGTAGGCACATTCGATTCGAGCACACTAACATAATAAACTTGCGTCACTTTGCCGCTCGTGTTTTGTTCTAGACTGCGTTTCTACTGGGTAACAATTCTATGCACAGCAGCATTAAGCTGCTATTTTACTCTGGTATTCTGTGAGAGCGTGATCCTTCCCGATCGAGCCGACCCATTAGTGCTACAACTATACTATTAATATAACTGCAGCATGGCTCTACCACGTAAATTTAGAAAAGGCTTTTGAATATTTTTCTATTTTTATACAAAGAAGAACGGACATGAGTTTCGCCTGAGTATTGACGGTTCAACTTTCTTAAAAATATATTTAAATAAGTAATATTACACTAGGAAAAGGCAGTATGGGGCAGGCAAAATAATCGTGCCGCTTATGATAACGCCAAGTACTCGTATAAATTGGACAGCAATATCAGTTTTATTTTCAGTTAGACTGGTGCTTCAATAATTTGTTGCCTTAT